AGCAATACACGAGGTATGTTGTTCCAACATAGAGCAATACACAAGGTATGTTGTTCCAACATAGAGCAATACACAAGGTATGTTGTTCCAACATAGAGCAATACACGAGGTATGTTGTTCCAACATAGAGCAATACACGAGGTATGTTGTTCCAACATAGAGCAATACACGAGGTATGTTGTTCCATCATAGAGCATGCTTCGACTTGAAACAGAGTAAAATGCTTTAGGCCAAACAGATGCTCTGGTCATAGAGAGTTGCCTCTGACAAACTACTTACACTGATGGTTCCCTACACTACTATAGAGTGGTACTACCCAACTGCAGTTCTTCAGACACAATTATTGGCCATACTCTTTGCACTCAAACAAATACATATATCTTGAGATGATAAATATCTACGTGATTGTCATCCTGGATTACACTCAAGACATAACTCGCGTCTGATTCAAGGTACATGTAATAAAGTTATCATTGGTGGAATTAGAGACTTTGTCTCCCATGACCCTCATGATAGGACTGATGAGTCAGTCCAAGCATGTGCTGTTGACGAGAGAGTTGACGTCCTTGATGAGTTGCCTGTGAGCAGCCTGAGGGGCAGCGGTATACAGAGAACTCCAACACAATTACTGCTAACCTTAGACTCTGCTACAAGTATCTCTGGAAGTTTGTACTACCTGTTGAAGTACTCACCTAGTTGTACCCACCTAGTTGTGCTTGCTGGTTTTGAGCTTTGGCTCTCTTGTCCCGCCTCTCAACCGTCAATCTACTGGTGTACAGATTCCTGAGCTTCTTCAACTCTATCATATATATATTTGAAACTGTGTATGGAGTCAGCCTCCACCATATCGCTTCCTAGTGCATTCCATTTACTAACTACTCTGACACTGAAAAAAATCTTTCTAATATCTCTGTGGTACTCGGTTTTCACTTGTTCCCTTGTGCGTGTACCACCCGTGTTAAAAAAAATCCATCCTTGTCTAAGCTGTCAATTCCCCTGAGAATTTTGTACATGGTGATCATGTCTCTCCGAACTCTTCTGTCTTTTTCCGACGTGAGGTGCAGTTCCCTCAGCCTTTCCTCGTATCTCATACCAAATGCAAGCTTTATTAACAAAATTATTTATATATCATACGTCACTATGTAATTGAATATGACAATATGTAAGGCTTTGAAAGCATAAGAATGTAAGGAAACTGCTGAAAGCCTATTGGCCCGTACGCGGCAGCTCCTATTTGTATGCACCGAAATTTATTCATACATACGTCTAACCTACGCTTGAAACAATCAAGTAATCTCCCGTCTACTTTGTCACGCAATAATCAGTTCCACAAATGACAGCCTCTCCCACACCAATACTTGCTGAGAACCAAATCACTCACAAATGTTCTTGAAGTGTCCAGGATGACTTAACTAAGACCTTATCCTGGTCTACCAACTTGGTTATAGGGAGAGTGCACACTCTAAGCTTGCCCCTACCTTCACGTTTCTTATTGTTTACCTCACCGTGTACCATCACTCCTACCCACGGTACCGTACCCAGGTCACTAACATTGTAACTTTATCACAAGTTAGAGGCAGTAAACCCTGTAATTAGTACAGAACAAATGCAAACTGCTAATCCATTTAAATATCGGTGTTCAGTCCATGAACTTATTATATGTCTCTAATACTTCCCACCACCACTCACAGGATGGGTATGGGGTCCCACCACCACTCACAGGATGGGTATGGGGTCCCACCACCACTCACAGGATGGGTATGGGGTCCCACCACCACTCACAGGATGGGTATGGGGTCCCACCACCACTCACAGGATGGGTATGGGGTCCCACCACTACTCACAGGATGGGTATGGGGTCCCACCACCACTCACAGGATGGGTATGGGGTCCCACCACCACTCACAGGATGGGTATGGGGTCCCACCACCACTCACAGGATGGGTATGGGGTCCCACCACCACTTACAGGATGGGTATGGGGTCCCACCACCACTTACAGGATGGGTATAGGGTGCATAACAAGTGAACTAAACTCAATTTAAAATTACCCTAAACTTGGTATTGGTATAAAACACTTAATGCAGACCATCTCTGTCATGATTCAACACTTAATTCGGCCCCTGGTAGTTGGTCATGTCTACTGGGCCCCTCGGTCTCTTCCCTCACTCTGGGCCGTTGCCTCCTCCTTCCCCTCACTGGTCTCTCACCCTGGTGATCCCTCTAAGAAGGCCGCCGTGGGAGGAGACCCCCGCGGTAATCTCCCTCATCCCCGCCACCAATCAAAGACTGTCATAAGACGATCGCAGGGGGAAGAAAAAATGGAATTAACATTGTGGTGGAGGAAGATCGTGTAGAGCCTGGCCTCCTAAGTCACTCTGGTGTGTGTGTGTGAGAGGGGACTCACCTATTTGTGCCTGCAGGCTCGAGCTCATGGATCCCGCCCTTCTAGCCATGACTTACTGCCTTATCTTATCTGATTATGAATGGGGATTTTCTTCTGCAACCTGCTCCTTTAATTCGCTCCATTTTCACTGTACTCATACAACTTACAGATGTTAGAAAGTTTCCTTTGTGACTCAGATGAGTCACAAAGAGGATGTCCAAATGTCGAGTACACAATGTGTCAACTTTGTGAACGAGAAAACATGCACTCCCTTGAACATTATATTGTAGAATGTTCCATAATGACTGACTTTCGCCCTCCTGAGCTGAGGTATGCTGAACTCTGTAACTACTATATGAGTACTGGAACACTTGATGATATATTGGACTTGTACCCAAGATTGACCATGTAATGTATCAATTATACAATGTATGTATGTGATGTAACTATATAACCTGAGCTTGTAAAAATACTTTAATCACCTTCAGTGATTAAGTGCTTAATAACACACTAGTTTCTCTATCAGCTATCTTACCCTCTCAGAGTAGGAGAGCCATAAATGTATGTGTATGTAATGTGCGTGTATGTATATGTGTATATATGTATATATGTATATATATATGTATATATATATATATATATATATATATATATATATATATATATATATATATATATATATATATATGTGCTTATATATGTGCTTATATATGTCGTATGTATATGCATGTATGTGTATAAAGTTTATGTGAAAGCTGATCATAATACATTTCACCTTTGTAAATGCATTATTGATACTATGTAAAAAAAACACATCGACCACTTTATGTAGGGCAGACGTAACTATGTATATTTGTGTATTTATGTCTGTAGGTTAGATCACCATTTTAAAAGCACTACAAACACTTTCTGTGGTTGATTGTTCAATAAATCCCTGAACTATATGTTTAACAGATCTCTCACCCTGTCCATGGAGGACAGAAGAAAATGTATATATTCTAGTTATCATTGTAAATGTGAGGCCACGTCTGTGGTAGAAAATAATAATTAAAAACAAAAACAAAAAAATTCTCTTTACACCCCATCCCTCGCAATTCTGGGAAAAACAAAAACAAAAAAATTCTCTTTACACCCCATCCCTCGCAATTCTGGGACGAACCTCCTCGCAAACTTGTGAAGCTTTGCGCGTGTGTGTGTGTGTGTGTGTGTGTGGTGTGTGTGTGTGTGTGTGTGTGTGTGTGTGTTCACCTAGATACTCTTACAGGGACGAGCGCGACTCAGTGTTCGTGTTCCGAAGTGTTTTAGATTAACGCAGTGACTCAGTTCTCACTTTTCATATATTTACATTGATTATTTTGCAATGAGTTACCTTTGGGAACATTTTCTTCTAACCAACTTCACATATTAATGACGAGGTAACGTGTTGTCTAGCATCTTTGGAACTAATTTGTGTCTAGTTTCCATCTATGCTTCCGTGTTCTGGCGTTTCTACATGTGACTAATAGTGTTCTGCTCACTTGGACCAGTTCCTCATAGTATGGTGTATATGTTGTTGTTCCTCCCCCCTCCTCCTCTCTAGTGCACTGCTGTGAGGCTCAGTACCCCATAATACAACACCCCCATAATACAACACCCCCATAATACAACACCCCCATAATACAACACCCCCATAATACAACACCCCCATAATACAACACCCCCATAATACAACACCCCTTAATACAACACCCCCATAATACAACACCCCCATAATACAACACCCCCATAATACAACACCCCCATAATACAACACCCCCATAATACAACACCCCCATAATACAACACCCCCATAATACAACACCCCCATAATACAACACCCCCATAATACAACACCCCCATAATACAACACCCCCATAATACAACACCCCCATAATACAACACCCCCATAATACAACACCCCCATAATACAACACCCCCTTAATACAACACCCCCCCATAATACAACACCCCCATAATACAACACCCCCATAATACAACACCCCCATAATACAACACCCCCATAATACAACACCCCCATAATACAACACCCCCATAATACAACACCCCCTTAATACAACACCCCCATAATACAACACCCCCTTAATACAACACCCCTTAGTACAGTAGCACAATATACCAGTCCTTAATTCAGCACCATTTTATGCAATATCCCCTGATACAATACACCTTAATACAACACCACTTAATTGAACACCCATTTAATACAACAACCCTTACTCCCCCCCCCCCCCCCCTCCATATATCCTGCTCCCCCCCCCGCCTCCATATATCCTGCTCCCCCCCCCCCCCGCTCCACCCGGCCCACCATCCCCCCCCCCTCCCCGCCTCCATCCGGCCCACCATTCCCCCCCCACTCCCTCAAGATTCAACAGTAGCTACCCAGTAATTGTCACAAATCGAGCGTGAAATCGAGAGTGAAGCCGCCCCGACCGAGCGTGTAAATCCTCACCTTGAATAATGGCGGCGACTCTCTCTCTGCGTGTCCCCCTTTGAGACAGTAATTCTGCACCACACCCAGCACCGCATTAGCCCGGGCGGTGATAAGCTGGGCACACCCCGCACACAACCTGGCGCTCATGGGTCGTGGTGCCGGGTCGTGGTGCTGGGTCGTGGTGCCGGGTCGTGGTGCTAGGTCGTGGTGTCGGGTCGTGGTGCTGGGTCGTGGTGCTGGGTCGTGGTGCTGGGTCGTGGTGTCGGGTCGTGGTGCTGGGTCGTGGTGCTGGGTCGTGGTGTCGGGTCGTGGTGCTGGGTCGTGGTGCTGGGTCGTGGTATCGGGTCGTGGTGCTGGGTCGTGGTGCTGGGTCGTGGTGCTGGGTCGTGGTGCTGGGTCGTGGTGTCGGGTCGTGGTGCTGGGTCGTGGTATCGGGTCGTGGTGCTGGGTCGTGGTGCTGGGTCGTGGTGTCGGGTCGTGGTGCTGGGTCGTGGTGCTGGGTCGTGGTGTCGGGTCGTGGTGCTGGGTCGTGGTGCTGGGTCGTGGTGTCGGGTCGTGGTGCTGGGTCGTGGTGTCGGGTCGTGGTGCTGGGTCGTGGTGCTGGGTCGTGGTGCTGGGTCGTGGTGTCGGGTCGTGGTGCTGGGTCGTGGTGCTGGGTCGTGGTGCTGGGTCGTGGTGTCGGGTCGTGGTGCTGGGTCGTGGTGTTGGGTCGTGGTGCTGGGTCGTGGTGTCGGGTCGTGGTGCTGGGTCGTGGTACTGGGTCGTGGTGCTGGGTCGTGGTGTCGGGTCGTGGTGCTGGGTCGTGGTGCTGGGTCGTGGTGTCGGGTCGTGGTGCTGGGTCGTGGTGTCGGGTCGTGGTGCTGGGTCGTGGTGTCGGGTCGTGGTGCTGGGTCGTGGTGTCGGGTCGTGGTGCCGGGTCGTGGTCAGTTTTGGTGCCGGGTCGTGGTGCCGGGTCGTGGTGCTGGGTCGTGGTGCTGGGTCGTGGTGTCGGGTCGTGGTGTCGGGTCGTGGTGCTGGGTCGTGGTCTCATTGAGTCAGGTTAATACAGGACTGGATGACCTGCAGCAACGTTCGTGAGACCCTTACCTGAGTGTGCAGTCCTACCGTGACACCCTCAAGAAGCAATAAAATCACTGTTTCAGCGTTTTGAAGGAAGATATACCCTTTAGCCGGATACTTGACATTATTAAGGTCACAATGAGATGATAATTTAAATAGCGTTGAAACCATCAGATTGGTGTTGGAGGAGGTGTGTGCAGAGTGGCTGAGTCTCCTCACCATATCTTGCCACTACTGGCTTCGGCTCCGTGTCCTTGTTACTCATAAACAATGAGTAACTATATGCACATATCATCATTAAAATTGTATGTTATTTGTGTTATTCATTTTATGTCTTCAAGTTTTTTTGGGGGGGTCGATTGTTCAACTGTGGAGCTCAGGTTGGCTGAGTCTTCAGAATAATAAATCAGCTGGTTTGGAGTACTGGGTCGGGCTCAATAGAATAAGTAGTTATATTACCCAATGTATTTCATGAAGTTATTAGGGTTGTACCAGTTAGGGTTGTTAGCGGGCATTGATAACTGATAATTATAACTCAGGGTAATTGATACTGTTACGAGGTTAGTCTCAGTATAACTCAGGGGAACATTGATAAAAGGAGGGTCACAGGGATTTAAAAAGATGTTTTGAGCCGATGTGAAGTGAGCAGATTAAATATGCTAGAAGGAGAGTTAGTAGAAGCTCAGCCAATGAACTGTTTCAAAACTACAGATAACGAGGAACAGTTGGGGGGGGGGGGTTAGTGAATTAGCTAACCTACTCATGATAAGGCTTAGGCACTCTGGAAGCACATTTAGGGGAATTTAAAGGCAAGTGAATACACACAAACACACACACAGACACACACACACACATGATCACCACATTCAAGATTCTCAAGGGAATTGATAGGGTAGATAAAGACAGGCTATTTAACACAAGGGGCACACGCACTAGGGGACACAGGTGGAAACTGAGCGCCCAAATGAGCCACAAAGATATTAGAAAGAACTTTTTTAGTGTCAGAGTGGTTGACAAATGGAATGCATTAGGAAGTGATGTGGTGGAGGCTGACTCCATACACAGTTTTAAATGTAGATATGATACAGCCCAATAGGCTCAGGAATCTGTACACCAGTTGATTGACAGTTGAGAGGCGGGACCAAAGAGCCAAAGCTCAACCCCCGCAAGCACAATTAGGTGAGTACACACACACACACACACACACACACACACACACACACACACACACACACACACACACACACACACACACACACACACACACACACACAAGGTGCTAATACCCGTGGCTGCAGTATTTAATTTTGATGAGTGTCAGGCCCATATGCCCGCACTGATCCGAGGCTCGGGTCGGCCCGCCGCCTCCCCGCAACACCAGTAATTGTGTTTAGAATAAACTTATTGGCAGCACAAGATTAGTCTCTGAGGGGGAAGTGGAGGGGGGTTGAGGCTTAGGGGGGGGGGAGTGAATGGTGGCTGGAAGGGGAGGGGGCAGCTCATGGAGCAAGGTGGGGGGGGGGAGGCAGCACATGGAGCAAGGTGGGGAGGTGTGGGGGGGGGGGGAGGCAGCACATGGAGCAAGGTGGGGGGGGGGGGGAGGCAGCACATGGAGCAAGGTGGGGGGGGGGGGAGGCAGCACATGGAGCAAGGTGGGGGGGGGGAGGCAGCACATGGAGCAAGGTGGGGGGGGGGGGGGGAGGCAGCACACGGAGCAAGGTGGGGCGGGCAAGACGGGACCAGGGACCACCGTCGTGTGCTGCAGCTAGGGGCCCGTGGGAGACTTCGGTCAGCCGGCAATGTTTACCTCCAGAGTCCTCTCCCAGAACTGGCCTTTTGGAGACCTTGAGGCTCGTCGCGCCTTCCTTGTATACTGAGCCACAGGAGGGACGGTCATCAGGTATACTGAGCCACAGGAGGGACGGTCAACAGGTATACTGAGCCACAGGAGGGACGGTCAACAGGTATACTGAGCCACAGGAGGGACGGTCAACAGGTATATACAGAGATATACCCGTCCTGCGAGCATTAGCCGGCTGTACAAAGTTACCGTTTATATTTAGGATTTTCTGAGTGTAATAATAATTGTTGTATTTTTTAGTGAAGCGAAGTGAGAATTTTTTTTATAGTTCAACAATAGACTAGAGGAAATAATTTTTTAAATTTTGCCCCGAGAGGCGAGTTTATTGGGCAGCGCCACTCATCCTGTGAGTGGACACACCGCCATAGTGACAGTATTGGGCAGCGCCACTCATCCTGTGAGTGGACACACCGCCATAGTGACAGTATTGGGCAGCGCCACTCATCCTGTGAGTGGACACACCACCATAGTGACAGTATTGGGCAGCGGCACTCATCCTGTGAGTGGACACACCACCATAGTGACAGTATTGGGCAGCGCCACTCATCCTGTGATTGGACACACCGCCATAGTGACAGTATTGGGCAGCGTCACTCATCTTGTGAGTGGACACACCGCCATAGTGACAGTATTGGGCAGCGTCACTCATCTTGTGAATGGACACACCGCCATAGTGACAGTATTGGGCAGCGCCACTCATCCTGTGAGTGGACATTCCGCCATAGTGACAGTATTGGGCAGCGCCACTCATCCTGTGAGTGGACACACCACCATAGCAGCATGTACAACACTCCCCAATAGGAAGAAAACCCGCTGGGTTGTTCATCCTGTCACTTGTACCCAGACACAGCTGGGACTTGCTTAACTGTCTCAAGTGAACAGTTTATCAAACAAGAAGATTAATATTTGCCAACCTCTATAGTTTTCTTACGTTATCTTGTGGGGAAAATGAACACAAAACTTGAAAGGGAGAAGAAAAATGTGTGTGGCTGCGGAGAAATAAACGTTTTACTGCACGTGAATAGCGGGATTACTGCTTTCTCGCCTGTCTGTCCCCTTTGTTATTTTCTCTCTCCTCTCTGTCTGTCCCCTTTGTTATTGTCTCTCTCTCTCTCCTCTCTCTCTCTCTCTCTCCTCTCTCTCTCTCTCTCTCTCTCTCTCTCTACTCTCTCTCTCTCTCTCTCTCTCTCTCTCTCTCTCCCCCCTCTCTCTCTCTGTCTCTCTCTCTCTCTCTCTCTCTTCTCTCTCTCTCTCTCTCTCTCTCTTCTCTCTCTCTCCTCTCTCTCTCTCTCTCTCTCCTCTTCTCTCTGTCTCTCTCTCTCTCCTCGTCTCTCCTCTGTCTCTCTCTCTCTCTCTCTCTCTCTCTCTCTCTCTCTCTCTCTCTTCTCTCTCTTCTCTCTCTCTCTCTCTCTCTCTCTCTCTCTCTCTCTCTCTTCTCTCTCTCTCAGATGGTACTGGAGTACCGTACCCTAACTCTGAAAGCCCCAACCCTATTCACCCCTAACTACTAACAAAACTACCACCACCCTTACCAGCTTAACCACAATGACACCCACACCCACTATCCAAGCCACCACCAGGTATACCACCTTAACCACTACCACCCTAACCACTACCACATTAACCACTACCACGCCCACCGCCCAACCACCCTACCCACAATAGGCAGCAGCAAGGGGACGAGGTCTCTTATTTCGTGTGTGGTTTTGACACCCCGCTCTGCACCCATTATCCCGTGAGTGCATCTTTCTCACCCATGTCACGCCATTATCACCCATGTAGAGTGGGGCTGCAGGTCCCATTTCCCTTCCTCTGACGCGCACATCTGAGGGAGAGGGATTATCGCCTTTATCCCCACGCCACGCAAAGGAGATCACCTCCCTTTTCTCTCGTCATCCCCGGCGATTCGAATGCATTTAGATTGTTAATGGAATATTGTTTCTAGTGTGGACCGGAGACGCCTGGCAGGATACTCTGTAGATCCTGGGAATATGAGTATGGTAATGAGGAGGAATTAAGGGACATGGTTCTTGGTAATTGTGCACTTGGGCACGACGTCCTTCGTGTAAGGGACTCTTCGCTGGGCTCACCGACCTGGAGGAGCAGGTTTACAGGTGGAGTGAGAGGAGATTGTGAGTGATTCTCTTAAGATTTGAGTATAAGATATGCGACACCGGGAGATGGTTCACCGTGAGCCCGGGCACCACTCCTGCAGTAGGAGCGTGTTGTTGGTGAACCCGAGGCTGGCTGCCCCTGGCGCAGGGGTCTGGGTGGGTGGCACTGGCAGCTGGGCCAGTGCCTCGTCTTGCCTGCTGGGGTTGGTGGGTTGTTTGTGTTTGGGAATATCAGTGGCGTTGTGCAGGCGCACGCACGCGCGCACACACACACACACACACACACACACACACACACACACACACACACACACACACACACACACACACACACACACACACACACACACACACACACCGGAAGGGTAGGTGTGTCTGGAAGGATGAGAGAGTGGCCACCAGTTTATGACACTCCCAGAAGTAGACGAAGACTTGAGAAGAGCAGAGTACCAGAGGGAGGTTTAATCTGAACCTTAGTTGGTGTTGGACATTTCCTCTCGTGTTGCATGTGGATGGTAAGAAAGTAATTATCAAAAGACACCAGCCCCGGGAGGCTATGTAGCACAGTCTTTGTTAAGCATATACACTTGGTTGAAACATTTATATACAGAGTGCCATTTATATTACAGTTATGCCAGGGGAAGTCAGGCAGGAGATTCTGGGAGGTCCTCAAGATTGAGACAGTGAATGTCTAGTACAGTAGAACATTGAGAGGTACCTGTAGTAATCATTATGGATGATGCTGTTCCCGTTGTGGTGGCGTATTGAGGTGCCCCAGGTTTGTACTTTCTGGTTAGCCAAACAGTTGCATTTTTACAGAGTTGTGAATCGAGAGAACGAACTGAGCAAAGATATCGCGAGTGCAGTCTGGGAGTGCAGTCTGGGAGAGCAGCCTGGAAGAGTACCAACGTGGTGACCGCACTCAAGAAAGGCTATGAGAATGAGACCTTGAACATCACACCTTTGTCTGCCTAATATGTTCCGCAAAATACCAGAGAG